AACTGTGACATCATGCTCAAGATTGTCACTAGATAGATCCATTATTGCTCCACATATGTCTGATGACATATCTGTTAATGAAATTTCATGTTCGTTCGATTGAACATCAACTGATAGTGCAATAGGTTGTTTTTCGATATCTGCAGTTGTGACCTCGATGTGAATTAGATATTTGGCAGGGTCGTGACTAATATCCTTCAAAACCATGTAAGACAAGACATTCTCGTCACTTTTGATTGTTATTGGAGGCAGATCACTATTCAAGACATCTTCATTGTCACAGCAACTTTTGCAGGGCCAAATCTAAACTCTTTCATAACTGTGTCGACAAGCTTCAAATACCTGCAATTACGATCAATTAATACCAGTGACACTTGTGATCCATTCAACAGACACACGTGTATTAACCCCATTTCTACAAAATTAGCAAAAACATGATCAGCCTAACATCCAATTATAGTTACATCTAATTGCATATGGTTCAAAATTACGTTAATGGTCAAATATCACAACAAACATATCTCGAATCTCAAGTATCATTGTCACGTATTGAATACATACAGGTCACATATTTTTATTTCTCAGATTTTTTTAATGAAAGGTCACAGATCATTGCATATTTGTCACATCCAGTTGAAGAATGGCCACAAGTCTTTGTATATTGGTCACAGTTAATTGCATGTCGGTCACAATTCTATTAAATGATCACAGGTCAAAGCCAATGCATGTCGTATCTTGAATGTCATGGTCACACATTGAATACATGCAGGTCACATCCACGTATTTAATCACAATTACATGCAATAATCAGTCATGGTAACTAAGTATAGATCTGTCGCATATGATTATATTCAAACAAGAGCATTAGTGTCATAAAACACAGATGCAGTATGTCACACATCACACATTTCGTGACACAAATACCCATGCGTACTGATTGCATGAGGTTACATCTTGTATCCAGGGTCACATGTTTTCCATAACGGCCACAACAGTTTCGAACAGCAATGTTTGATATTCATGATCACAGTTCCGTCAAAAATCACATTTTTGATCAATCGAAACTTGTCTAGCGTGAATAAACCACAAATTATAATGAATAAATTGCAATTACACACCTTATCAATGTAGTTACACACCTGAATAATGTAATCAGTGACTGTTCGAGACACCGAGTTTTAATCCGACGTAATACGACCTGCGACTGCAATTTGTGACCAGAATTCGGTTTCACCGTCACTTCCGCAAGAGCCGATGGTCATTTGGATGTATTTTCAGATCTTCTGGCTATTGGAAGCAGCTTGAGAGATGATTTATTCTTTTTTTGGAGAATCCTGTTTGTACAGTATCTCAGTCTATTTCTTCGGGATTGTTTTCCATATGAAATTATATTAATAGTTGTTTTTATTTTTTTGGCTAATTTCTGATTGTTGAAATATGATTCTTATTTTCTTTTTTTTGAAATGTCATATACTTAAGATCTTGTATATGAAATTTTCCCAATAAAAAATTAATTAAATGTGGTTAATATTAGTAAAATCATATTGGCCCAATTGAGAAATGACAGTTTTATAATTGTCCACTTCAATGAAAAGTGGAGAGTTTTATTGCCCATTAATTCATTCAATTATAAAGAGGAAAAGTAGATAGAACAATTTCTTTAATTTAATAGTATCTTTTTTGCAGATTTAAATTTCTCAATTTTGTCATGGATCGAGGTATGTGTCTTGATCAATTAAATTTATATGTGAAAATCATGAAATTCTAAAGCTCTTGGAATTAGGGTATAATTTCTTACAATTTTAACATAATAAAATAGTAAAGAATTGAAAATATCGTAAAATCAAGTGTATGATTTTTACAAATTTGATTTTACAATTACAATTTTATGTAAAGTGAGAAGGCTGTCACTTCTCTTACTATATTAAAATAAGAAGATCTTAAGATCTTCTTATATAATATCCGTTTAATACACGTTAATGTAAAAATAAGAATGAAAAATATAATCGTTTTGGGCCTCACACAAAAGATAGAAAGTCAAATATGGTAACTTGATGTGATGAATAACGGTCATATTTTTCATTTTAATAGACAAATAATGAGAATCAAACGAGGACTAACAATTCTCATTCAGCAAAACATGAACGAACAGTGTACGACTTTTTAATTTGACAGAAACATAAGTATAAAATGATAGCTTGCATTTCGTCTATATCGAAGCCTAAATATTGACATATTGAAATAGTTTTTAATTATAGATAAACATGATACTTTAAAAATCAAACTCTACATTGAAGATTGTAACATGTCATTTTAAATATAAAATAACATAGTGTGTAAAAAGTGACCCGTGTCACTTTTGTCCACTTGTCAACGAAATTAAATTACAAAATTGACAAACCTATAAAAATGGTTAACATGCGCGATGAGGGGAAATACAATTACAACGTATTTTCTTTTCATAATCCAAAAACCAGCTCTCTTTGAAAAGGTTCTGTTCTCTTCTACAGAGAGGCTCGAAAACAAGGTAAATATAGGGTAGATAAACGATTGGACATTTTGTAAAGAAAAAAAAAAGGACCAACCAATTTCTGTCAAATCAATCTGTCATTTGATTCCCTGTTTGTTAGCCTGCCTGACGAACTTTATTTTAAATTCTAATTCTAATACATTTCGGATGTTTTGAAACAATTGCATATAATTTCAATTTAAAAGTAATTATGTACATAAAGAATAATCATAAATTATTTATGGCTAATGAATTAAGAAATATGAGAAATTCCTAGAATTGAAAGAAAAAAGATGTTTTTATTCTTTGGGCTCTGAGATCATCAGAAATCAGAGAATATTAAAGATTTTATTTGAAATTTATTATTTATATTTTTCATCAAAAAGTCTCTAGAAATATAGTGAGTATAAAATTCTCCAAAAGTCATTGTCTATCTGAATACCTCATGATTTATAGGCTTTTAAAAGGTTTCAATTAAATACCTCGTTATTCTTAGAGACTTTTTAAAAGTCTATAGAAATTAAAATATTCACACCTAAGCTTTTGACGAGTATTTAAAAGTCTCAATTAAATACATCTAAAAATTTTAAATCTTCTAAAGTATTTGAAAGTCCCATATACTCCCTTAGTATTAATTAATATCGTCATAACATGCACACGATTGTGCTTACATTTTTAGATTAGCATATCTCATTCTCTGTACTGGAACGATGAACCTCTCTGCTTCAGGTAAAAAGAAGTTGGCTTCTTAGACTTGTTCGTCGGTCTCCTAGTTCGTAATCTGAAGAACAAGTAGAGCTACTAAAATGAATACAAGAAACACAGCACATTTCCATTGATTGTTCATAATAATACTTCACTAAATTAACTTGTTCTCGAGGAACATTTCACGATACAATAAGGTAACAATCTAAATTCTAGAAGTACAAATATTGTCCAAACGACATTTCTTAATTACTGCTATCAGTGTTATTGGTGGTACGATGATAATTCCTATTATTCTTCAATTGTGAAAGCTCCAATTGTGTTTTCATGAAGAACTGCATCCTCTGCAATTCCATCTCCTTCACAAATTTCATCCTCTGCTTTTCCATCTCTACCAACTGCTGCATTTTCGAGTTCTCTGCTTGTTCATACGACTCCCCAAATTTCAATATTGCCCGCGTCAACTCCCCAACAGAATTGCCCCAATTCGTCTCATTGCTATTCACAACAGCTGCAGCACTTCTGTTCATCATTCCGGACATTGGTGCACTAGCATTTACCATCATCATTTGATTCGTTTCTTTCTTGACCCTTGGCCGCTTATAACATTCTGGCGGTAAACCATCTGATGAATCGGCAGAAGGTTCCGGCTCCTGCTCGGACTCCTCATCCGACTCCACCGGAGGCCTTTTCCGAAATTGCGGCTTTGGCTGTTGCCGGAACTGAGAAACCGAGCCGGATCTAGTCCCAACAGGGATCCCCATAGGCACCTTTTGGCTTCCCGATTGCACGGAGCTCATCTTCGCCGTCGGGCCGATCAATTCATCCATCTTCTCATAAAACCGCCATTTGCTCGGCCCACCGCCAGCCGCGATCTTAGCCTTCTCCGTCTTGTACTTCTTCTTCACTGTATCGATCCGGTTCTTGCACTGAACATCGGTTTTCGGAGTCTTCATATAATCCTCTCGGCTGCCCACAATGTCCGCCACATCTTTCCAGTGCTTTTGCTTCAGATTCCCACGGCTGAGCTCAAGGTACCTCTCCCCCCAGGCTTCAATTAACACAGCCGTTGCGCCTTCACTCCAACAATCCTCTCTTCCTCCACCAGTTCCCCCAACCTTCTGCTGCTGTATCGGTAGAGCAAGCGTCAGAGTATTCTGGGGCGTCATCGGGGGCGCAGCCGCCACAGTCACCGTAATTCTCCCATTAGAAGGCGGCGATGGATGTGACTGGATTTCATCGTCGTCTTCCATAGATCGCGGCCGATCTGTATTAATCTAGAGAGAGGAAGGTAGGGAATAAAGGCAATAGAGTTTGTTGACCGGCAGAGGGAGACAGACGTTTAACGTTATAATTTTTCATGTGACGACTTTTAAAACGACAGCGTACAGCTGATTTTGTATTTTTATCGGTTGACGGAAAAATCCAAGGAGGGTTGGACGACGGCATCGGTAAGGGGGACACGTGTCGTGGAGTGGGACAAATATCGAAGTTCTATTGGATGGGACTCCCGTCACCGGAGTCTTTGCCGGGTCGATTGGTGGACCTTCCCTTGCTGTTGACTTCATTGACCTTGGCTTTCATAGTGGCGTTATTTTAGCCTTCATTCTGCAGCAATATGACGTTTTTAACGAATGAAATGTACATTCCATATTCTCTCTAGCTGAAGCTGAAATATTAGTACAAGTAAACGTGCCTGACTATCATCTAGTCTAGAATGGACAAGTAAGCATGTTTTTGTTTCAAAAAATTAATTTTTTGACCGTTATTTCACTATTTCAGCCATCATATTTGACTTTTTCTCTCATAAATAGACCTCACTTTTCTTCTAACGGTCAAAAAATTAATTCTCAAAATCACTCTCAAGTAGGCTCTAAATCAGAAAGGATACATACGCAGCAAGTCATCAACAATTATCTGATCTATCAATCAACTTTAGGCTCTTTTGTGGATAACACACACTTCTCATTCCCACAATTTACTGGGCAAGTACACATCATATTATTAAAATTTGGGCAGTATGGATAAGAGACGCTTTCCCTTTCCACAACAATATAATTGAGCGATCTCACAGCATTCAACTTGAAATAATATCATACCATGCACATATTAGTTTTCGAGCCCACAGAATCATCCTTCCCTGAAAAAACTAATTTAGTTAGCAACACCGCCGAGTCTGAATTACAAAAACCAACTTGGATAACAAGCTTCGTGCATTCACTTGAATACATTGACAAATTTTGCAATTAAAATGAAAAAAAGACAAAGAAAAAAGCCTTTGAGTGAACAAGTAGGGAATTTGTGAGAACATTTACCATGTTAAAGTTAAAAGATGGCCACTTGAAGTTGAAATAATTTGAAAATAAAAATTGGTGAAAAATTGAAAAGTGTCAATCCCACATAAGAAAACTAGAAGAATAGAAACGACTTTATATTGCTCAAATTTGGGCTCCAAGGGGCACCACTAATTTTTGGAGGGAAGAGGACCTAGGTGCTAATAGGTTCATCTTAAGCCCACACGCGCGCTGTCGTAGGCAACCGATCAGCTCGCACATGCACGGGTCGTGGGCTTGCATCTCTTAATTATATTATTTATTTTTTCTTCCTCAAATTTTCTGTGCACGACATGTGGCTTTTTCTAAAAACTAGCGGTTGGCGACAGTTTTAATTGTCTGTCCAAGACACAAATTTTCGTCTGTTGTGTCTTTTGGGCACAACCTTTCAACTTCTATAAATAGACTCCCAGATCCCCGATTTTGTTCATTCCAAAACAATTTTCTTCTCTGCTTCCCGCTCTTGCAATATTGTTCTTCTGTTCTGCAGTGTTCCATATTTTGCATTTCGGTCCCAAATATTATTTTCGTGCAATTTTAGTCATCCGATTTTCGAGCGATCAAAATATTAGTAGGTTCATCGGATCTTATAATTTGGAGTGCTACTATTACAAGTCGAGATCGTTGTATTTTGGGAGATGAGTGTAAGGAGACTGTCAGCACCAGTGCGGAGCATTATCGTCTTAAGGAGGAAGAGTCAAACTCTTGCCTCAATCATTATTTGTTTTAATTTTGTTGCGCTAATTTTGTAAGTCGAAATTCTGTCCAAATATTTATTCACTATCTATTTATATAAATTACTGCACGACATTCTCGAATTTCGTTCAATAACATAATTTTCTCAGGAATTAAGTAAAAGTGCAGATGAAAAGTAGAATTAAGGATGAAAATATAAAGAATAAACATTACGGCATCCAAAGAGGGAAAAAAATGAACAGAGCGAGTCCAAAAAGGTTAGAGCACATATTTTGCTACATATGACTGTGATCCTATGTATCCCATTATATATATTCCAGTACGTAGTTTTCTTCTTCACACATAAGCCCAGTTGAACTACGCACTAAAAAGTGATATGTTCAGTACTCATTCAATAGTTTATACGTCGATGATAGCATACAAGTTTTCTTCCACCTTTCTCCATTTTGTCATTGCTATTTATTATTAGAAAATAACGTCTATAAAAGTTGTACTTACATTCTTTCTGCCAAACTTTGAAATAAAAGAAAAAAGAAGTTTAAATTTAGTGTCAATCAGACTACAATCCACCTAATGCATTGGACGAGCTTTTACAATCCACATAAAGTGAATCTATATCCAACTAATCCAAGATTTTCTCTCGATTGATCAGCTCCTTTGTTCCCTTTTACTTGAAAACAATGCTGTTTTGATTATTGTTCGTAAGACATGCTTAAGAATGGATACATTCATTGTCTTTTGAAAATTAGCGGTGAATATTAACTCAATTTCTTCTGTTAAATTATGACTGAGGTACCGAAATTCCACTTTGCCTCCATTCCTGTTTTTGCTATGACATTTACACTAGATCAACTTGTACAATTTTTACGTTTTGATTTTGACTTTGTTGGGTTTTTGATACCCAATAAATTTCGGGTTATGATGTTAACGTGGGTTAATATTATTTATCGGCATAAACCGATGAATGAAATAAGTCCAACAACCAAGTCCATGAGTTACACCATCCAATTGTATGCCCTCTTGGAAGGCTTAAATCTTGGCCCGTTTACCTCTTTAAACGTCCAATTTAAAGCCTAACTCTATAGCATATACATGACTATAACCCTGACCACTTTCAAATGATGTTTTGTGTGGTTTTGAAAGAAAAATTAAGGAATTCCAGTTGCCCCCTTTTGTGTGTGAAAAATAGCCTCTATAATTGTCCAAAACGCTTGTTTAACATGTACAATTGGTGGTTCCTTCATAGTATACATTTGTAGTGTCTTTTCCTAGCCTTTGTAATCACAAATCATCTTTTCTTATCCTACGTGTATAAAATTGAATAGCAATCAAGATGAAGCAATTGATTGTAGTTTGAAACCGGTTGAACTAGTTATTGGTTGAGAAAAGTGCGTTGAACTGAACCCAAAAATCACCGATTTGAAGATTTTTCAAGAAAGCTTACGCAACAAACTTCTCTCCTAAAAACATTCCTAAAGAACAAAGAAAACAAATCCAGATGGAATAATTCGTTATTCTGCATACTACTCCATAAATAAGTCGTGTTCACAACATATTTGTTTGGCCAAACTTTATTCATAAATGGCTTCAACTCTATTTGTTTTTAAATATTTTTCAATTAATTCATTCATCAATTAAATGTGTTTATTAAACTTTTAACAAACTCTGCACATCGTTAGCACAGAATAAAATTTAGTCAACGTAAAATTTCACCAACAATCCACCAAAAGATTATTGCTGGGTCGATGTTAGGATCCACGGTTGATTATGGCACCTGCAGTAGAAGGAAATATTGCAGAAAGATTTTAACAAAGAAGCTAGTACAGCATGAAAAGAAAATCCCACGAAATGTACGACGAATATATTACAGAAATTTAATTTAGTCACACCTACACCTACGAAATATTTACATGACTGAAAACTTCAAGAAATGACCTAAGAGCTACAAAAAGAATACTTTATTCCTACTTGTATGCTTTGCTTTCCATACTTTTTCCCACTGTAGGATCTAGTTTAACCGGTAAATAAATGCTGCAATTTACAACTTGAGGGTACCTTGGTTTGGATAAATCTATCTTGTAACAAAGTTCTTCAACTTTACCCCCTATGACATCTTATGTCATTTGTTTCAGGTAGGTAATCCACATCCTTTGGACGAGTTTAATGGAACAATGGCAAGAATACAAATTTTCCAGGAATCTTCCCAACCTCAAGGGAAAAACATGTTTCTATAGCTAACCCATTGCACAAATCTTTCAGAAAATCCAGAAGAAATGTCAGAACCACATGAACCAGCATCATGGTGGACATCAACAACCTGTTCCTTCCCCTGAAACACTTGGAAAAACAAAAAATTAATAAGAAAGAACACTGCACACCAAAGCCGGGGCAGCATAAAAAACTCAGTTTATGTGGTCTGACATTGATCCCACCAATGGACCACATAGGCAAGAGTGAACTGCAGGATTACTAACATAGATAGAAATGACTAATTCTAAATGATACAATCAAGTCATCAATTTCAATTAGGTTATATTTTAACAAAGAAGCTAGTACAGCATGAAAAGAAAATCCCACGAAATGTACGACGAATATATTACAGAAATTTAATTTAGTCACACCTACACCTACGAAATATTTACAAGACTGAAAACTTCAAGAAATGACCTAAGAGCTACAAAAAGAATACTTTATTCCTACTTGTATGCTTTGCTTTCCATACTTTTTCCCACTGTAGGATCTAGTTTAACCGGTAAATAAATGCTGCAATTTACAACTTGAGGGTACCTTGGTTTGGATAAATCTATCTTGTAACAAAGTTCTTCAACTTTACCCCCTATGACATCTTATGTCATTTGTTTCAGGTAGGTAATCCACATCCTTTGGACGAGTTTAATGGAATAATGGCAAGAATACAAATTTTCCAGGAATCTTCCCAACCTCAAGGGAAAAACATGTTTCTATAGCTAACCCATTGCACAAATCTTTCAGAAAATCCAGAAGAAATGTCAGAACCACATGAACCAGCATCATGGTGGACATCAACAACCTGTTCCTTCCCCTGAAACACTTGGAAAAACAAAAAATTAATAAGAAAGAACACTGCACACCAAAGCCGGGGCAGCATAAAAAACTCAGTTTATGTGTCTGACATTGATCCCACCAATGGACCACATAGGCAAGAGTGAACTGCAGGATTACTAACATAGATAGAAATGACTAATTCTAAATGATACAATCAAGTCATCAATTTCAATTAGGTTACAATCTGTTACAGATTAAAGTTTTTCGGGGTAATTAAAGAGTGCACTGTAAGTTAACTGACCTTGATGCTTGATCCAGACCCGTAAGCTGAAGAGCTTGTTCCCAGTTTAAGCTCATCTGAAGATAGTCCAGCCAATGGAGAGCCAATAAGCATAGATCTGCAACAATCAATTTAAGTAAACATTAAAACCCTATCACAAAGCTAAAAACTTTAAACGTTGAGCATTTTTTATTTTCAAACTTGCACTAATAAGCAAATTCAAATAAAAACACTGTGATTATGTCAGGAAGATGCTTAAACAACAGATGAGTAAAACGGATGAAACAATTAAAGCTTGGGAAATGTTTTTCAACCAGATAAACAAGTGACTGAGAGAAGAAGTTCAGAGGAAGCACCAATTAGTTATCTAACTGCAAAGAAATACTGGCACGAGATGGAAGAGATTGGCAACATAAATCAAACGAATGCATTTTACAATTGTTTCTAATTCATATTAAAAATTTGCAGTGTAGATTACCATGCAAAAATGAAATTTATTTACATGAGAATTTTCCCATATCTACTGCAAGGATGCAATGTAGCTAAGTGATGTCAAAGATTTTAAGTGGATTAATAACAAAGGGTTCAGTTTCATTCTTTGACATGTAGTCCATATAGCATTATTAAAAGGGATTTACCTTTCATATGTCTCTTCTTCACATGAATTTCCCGATGAAGAAAGCCATTCAACATCGAGAAAATTTGAACAGTGGAATGAATCGCCGCGTTCATGGAAACAGATGCTATCAATTTCAAGGCATTCTTCTGATTGCATATCTGTGAAAAGCTGTCTACGAGACATCGGGGTGGTATACCTACAAGAAATGGCCACCATTCGAGACAGTAGAAATTGAGAACTTCAATACAAAACAGTACAAAAATACTAGCAGTTAATTGAATGAGAAACAAAATATTGTTTTCCTTGACAAATAAGGCAATTAAAAAAAAGCTGAACAATATGGACATGGATGGGGCCTATATGACCATAATGTGCACACAATCAACTTCTATAATTGTCGCTTCAGATAAAAAAAAAATTAATCTCTGACATTCCAACGTGAAGTGCAGGGTCAGCACGAAAAGAAAACAAGGACATATTGTAGAAATATCTCCAACTATAATAGGTGATTCACCTCATAGTTTGAATTTTATCTAGGAATGGACAACTAAAATCAAAATCATAACCTGATGATAGACCCAGTAGTGTACACTTATAAGGTAAAGTTTCAGTGGACTTGGCCATAGAAACATGTCCACTGAATGGCATCAAAGTACAATAAGTGTTTGAATTATTCTTTGATAGAAGAAAAGATCACAGACTTGAGGAAACGTACCTGGAATAAGATCTATTGCTTTCACAAGTTGAGATTACAGGAGTTGAGTCTGAAAGACCCATGTTGGAACCTTGTGCCTTTCCAGGCAATGACGTGTGAGGAATTTCAGTCTCTTCAATGCTTGAATCATCAATAGGTGAGCTGTTATCACACAGAATGTTTCCATCTGATAGGGATCTTTTAATTGTTGACCTGCACATTAAAAGTTTCACCAAGTTAACCATAACAGGGAAATCAAGTTATAGGATGCAGCTTCCCCTGACAAGTTAAACAAATACAGAGCTCTCCATTCACCGAATCCCTGTAGGTGTACTTTATCCCTTAACGAGAATTCCATTCAGATCTGTCTTTTAGGCACTTATTTTGCAGGAAACCCCATGGTTAGTATTTGGTTAATATGTAATTATGTAGTATCGATATGCTCTGATGATCTCACCAAACATATTAACAATAAGAAAAAAATATATAATTCAGTAAGAAGAATAAATGCACGATTAAGGCTGACCAGGTGTGGAGAATATTAGAGAGAGAAAAAGTATACCTGCAGGGAATTATTTTTCCAAAAAAATTTCACACTGAAGTATGAAATAATACACAAGTATGCCCAACCTTTTAACAGAAATAAAGACTCCATTCTTTATCGGTAAATTACCAAAGTTCTCGAAATACAAAAATTAACACATTACCGAGAATCTTCATCTCCAAAATCAGAACCACGCCTTCCCACATTGTAATGCTGGTCAGAATCCCGTTCCCAGAGAGCCGGTTTCCCCTGTTGTGGCTGGAAATGACCCAAGAATCTGCTCAAATGTGGAGACATATGGAAATAGTAAATTCAGAACCATTTTTTTATCAAAATACTGAATACCAAGCAACCTTGATGCATCTTCAAAAATTGGCTCTTACATAGACAATGGATTCTGATCGTTTTCTTTCTCAAATATATGATATTATATCAAGACTCGACAAATTATGGGTCCAGACATTACACAAATTATAGCTGCAAATCTTATTTCATAGAGATATGGACCACTTGACTTACATGTTTATGGCATCTTGTTTTTCAGAATCCATGTAAGCATTACTGTAGTAGCGTTGAAGAGTTCTCAAGAACTCTTGGGATTGCGTCGCCAGTTTCAACTGCCCCCTTGTCTCCGAGAATATCTGTTCACTATTCCCAGATGTTAAGCATGGAGAATTGCAAATGTCACAAGTTGAGAATTGCGGCACAATGCATACAAAAATGTCTAAGATATAATTAACCTTTATATGAACTACAATAAGTTCTAGAAATACTCAACCGGCAACCAGCAAACACTTTTCAAGTTCTAAAACTTTCTGCATAAAAATACTGAATAAATATGTGCTTTCATTTGCACACAGATGGGAAAAGTGTAACTTCCAGACACATCCTACAAGGATTACCTTATTGTGTGCTGCAGATCCACCATATTGTAGTGCAAGGGTGTCACCCATTGCTTCATAAATCTTCATCAAACCATCCGCCAACGGGGATTCTAAGCTAATGTTTGGAACAACTGTATACCCTATAGCATGCAACTGATGACCAAGAGCAACCAGCCCAAAAACATATTGTGCGACATTCGTGCGGTCTAAACAGTCAATACAGTTAGTTCTTAGGACCCCTTTCTGAAACATTGGAGACTTGACAATATAACCTCCATCCAAATCACCACTGTGACTAACGGTGACTTCAGTGTCCAAGTTTAGAAGATCTTTAGTCATATTGAAGAGGTCCTCCTTAACAGCATAGTCGCTGTTAGAATTTTTACTGCATTGAAGTAGAAAGTAAAAGAGTTAACCAATAGTCAAAATCAATGGACAAATATGGAAGCCAAGGGCTGTAATGCTGGCCACCAGAAACTGTTACTGCATCTCAGGGGGTATAAATCTACATGAAAGCTAGCGAATTATGAGAGAAAAAGATGTCCAGAAAGAAGAATATGAAGTCAATCAAGAGTGTATATCATGATAATCTTTGAACAAAGACAAGAAACAAGTTCAACACTAACATGAGAAACATTACGCTCCAACATACCGACTCAATATATATTGATTATAATAAATAATAAATCAAAGTATGTTATGGAATACTTTGCCAATTATAAACTGCTTATAAAAAGAAACCCAAATCAGACTTGAATAGCTTTTCAATGACCTTAGCAGTTAAGATTTCATCTAATAAAGATTCATTAGTTTTTGAAAGTTACTTCACTCAAGGCTTCAAAACAAGGTAAACCTAACCTAAACTAAGATACTAAGTACATAATCTGCCAAGTGGATACAGTGCTTCAGCATATTGAGTATATCCCACTAACTTTTGCTCTATTATCAGATAAGTCGCACTTTAAAATTTGGTAGAACGCATTTCCAAAGTATTTGATTTCATTGGAAAACTGAGTTAAGTAATTGGAAAGAAAACTAAGGGTTTAGAAACCAAACTATGGGAAGGAGCGTAAACATACTCAACAGTAGGACCAGTTTAACAATTTCCCTTACCCTGAAGCTGGGACTATCTGACAGTAAAAGAAGCCAGTTAAGTCCACTGCATTAGCAGCGACTTTGCCTAGATATGCCAATACACTTGCTGCGTTGCTGAAAAATAAACAGGTTGGTTCAATTATACATCATCCACAAAACAAATGCAGCCCAATAGAAAGAAGAGAAGCCAATTTACTTTTTGGAGTACTTATTTAAATCCCAGTGTAGAAACTTCAGACGGTTCTCCCTTGTAAGATCTTTATTAATAAACTTGATGGCATTAGCGAATTCTGCACGTAGAATAGATTCTCTTGGCTTCTTCTCACGAGTCTGGTAATCATGAAGAAAATGACAGAAAATGGGGATTAGAGCCACTGAACATTAGAGGACTAAATGTTAAAGAAGTGTGTACCATGTGCATGTAAGTCCATTGATACAACACAATCAGTGCACAGACATACCTTAATCAAATTCAATATAATAATAGGATTTCCATATCTCTTTACTAGGTTCTCGAAATGAAGTTTGGTGGCTTCATACTTATAGTCCTTCTGTGATACTTCACATGGAAAGAGAGTAATCAAAAGAATTATACATTAGCATTTTCAAAACTGCACATCAGAATTTACGAGCCTTACATGTGATGTCAGGTTTAATGTTCAATCGTGAAGTCTCCTGCGACCAAAAGAGGGGTATTGAACCCCGATTCTGCACAACAGATGATATTTGTATTGGGCTTCCTTCTGGAACATCCTCTAGCACAATTTGTTCGGTCTCAACATCATTGGCTACACGTCCCTTCTCATTTACACCGCGTTTCAAATATCTGCAATATAAATAGGAACGGCAAATAGTAACAACGAATAATAGAAAGGAATCAGCAGCCTTTGATTTTCGAACTTCATAATTTATGTTTTCCAGAAGAATAGTCCTTTGTGAGTCAACCAAGTCATGAGTCCAGTATGAAATCAATTATACATTTCCAGAGATATCTTACGTGCTGATAGAATCAAGCACAGAAGAGTCTCGTGCAGAATAAACAATGAATTCAAATTGAGATAGTTAAGCTAAAAAGAATTGCTAAAAAGAATTTGAAATGAATGTGCTCCATTAAGCAGTAAAGTTCTGATCATTTAACTAGCTGTAAGAAAATTAAAGGACACCAATAAATCAAACATAATGAAAACCTGGTTCCGGCATAATGACGGGATCGTCTCGCGATAAGGGTTAGGTTGAAGTCCCGCCCATCTATAGAAAGTTTGACCTGTTAATAAAAAAGATGATAATTTGCACAAGCTCAAATACCAAGAATAAAATTAAACAAAGATTTGAATACTTGATGTTATAGCAGCTAATGAAGCAAAAGAATAATGTAATTATGTATATATAAAATGTACACTTCTTCAAATATTTATACACTACAAAAGATCTGTACCTTTACATCGCATATATTCTCAACTACCCTACAAATGGCTACAAGTGTGAGGAAAGAGTTAAATGAAATTTTAGGGATAACTAAATAAAATGAAAACAGGCAAGATGTGTGCAGAGCATATAAACTTATCAAGTCATGCACAGGAAAAGAACAGCATTACTAATTTAGTAATATCCTAGTATGATCAGATCTTGCAAATCCAATTCCACATATGAGAAACCCTAAGTGGTTGATACCTGCTTGAAGAATCCATAAATCAAAGCGACTGTCCACACTGTATTCTTGAGCTGACTGCGAATTCCGCGAGTTAAAAACTCATTCCAAACAAACATTGTTTCATATAGGACTAGTCCTGTTTCATGATTGCTTAGATTTTTCTGAAGACTAAGCATACAATGGTAGGAGTAGCTGAAAAAGAAGTCCTTTGTAAGATCCACACTGCGTAGGAGCTTCTTGTATCTATGTCATCAATACAAGAAAATCAGAAGTTGAGAAAAAAAGTTAATACAAGACCAATACATTAATTAAAACGGAAATTTACAGAAGTGAAAATCTAATAGAATTTAGAAAAGGCAATATATTCCCCCCTGATACACCCTGGTAATACCTTGTCTCATTCAACATAAATTTACATCACAACATCAGTGTGGTTTTCCCCTGCACATTTGCTGGAAAAATACTGGCAATGGACACTATGATCAATCTAACTACAGAGGACAGATTGAGAGCAATACTCAATATACTTCAATTAGACTATGTGATTGATTCATTCTCTACTTTACCTAACGAAAAGATAGGTGAACACTAATGTATAACATGACACTGGAATTACAATGAAGGTTGCACCCATAAAAAGGTACAGAGGTTACCTCCACAGTATGGAACTGGTGTGCGATGCTAAAACACAAACCAATATCTAAAAATAAAAATATAAACAAAAGAACCTTTTACACTTGAGAAGATGATGCTCATCTGGATAAAAAATATAACAGGCACATTAAATTTTATTTATTGTCTTCTCAAAAGTATCGCTGACACTTTACATTTACATGTGGATTGACAAAAGACCTGTTCTCATTCTTAGAATAAGCCATATTTGATTGCACTGTAGAACTGGGAATGGGAATCATCTCGCTCTTGGCAATTGCATATACTGCCTGACCACATATTGTTCCAATCTTCCTTCTTTTTGTGATAAGCAGCAAGTAATAAGGTCCCAAAAATTTTACGAAACCTAACATCGTAGAAAGAATAACCATGAGTTCTGATATCATAAAATGGAATTTCATTTTTAATGATAACTAAAGTAGGCAGATTGAGAAAGCAAAAAAATATTGAAGATATAACCCACCAATGATCCCATAGCAGGTGGTGACAAATTTCAGTCCACCTGTAGACTTGTTTCCTTCATGAATTCTTTCCACGAGGTCGTAGCATTCAATTTCTGAGTATGTTGTAGAGTCTTCAGTGATGTTTAGCTCAGACTGTTCTGATCTGTCTATCTTCAAGACCTTCCAGAAAGTTTTATGTTTGTCTCGTCCAATCATATAAAAGTTCTGTTGCATCAAGAATATATGAGTAATTTAAGTGAAGTAGTACATAAAAATGTATCATCTACGGACTACTTGTGCAAGAAGATGAGGAATAAGACTAGCAATAAATGGAAAAAGAACTGCATGAGAGAGAAGCTAAGGGGGGAAGTACAGCCGAAAAAGCAGATACCATTATCATCGAGTATCTATTATCAGATCAAATGAGTGTTCTATACATGCCAAAGATTTGTTTAAAGAATGTTAAATAAGCACTCAAGACAAGAACGTTAGACCTTTAATTTAATGACATCAATGTGAACGCATTCAAAGTGATTGAAACGTGTCTAATAATGTCTATAGATATGACGCACACAAGAATCCTTCTACATACATGACATGCACAACCTGCAAATCCTTAAATGCTCTGTTAATGTTACTTTTTTATGGTTTTGAGCAAGAGATGAACAAAGGTTCCTATCACTAAATTTTTTTTCTCCCACAACCTTCGTAGTCCTGTACCATAGCTCAATATGTACTACTACTACTACTACATTCATCCCAATTCCCAACATATTGATAAAACTTGCTTGTCGTACCAACATCAATTTCAATTTAATCTTTCAGAAGTTGTGTAACTTTCGGTTATCTCTCATACAATAGAAATGTACTTAAGGGCAGGTCAGCCTGTAGGTGAACCTATATAATCTTTTTAAATGGCTTTCTCATAGAAAGTGGAACTCATTACCAACATTGTTACCGCAGACTCAATCATCATCATCTTCATCTTTCGTTACTCTAAAACTTCAGAGCAATTAATGTTGATTCCGAGCCCTAAATTCAAAATTCAAATGAACTGGAAGAAGCTCGTTCCTGTTTTTGTTAGTTAAAATCCAAATGACGACCGGCATTTAAAAACAACCAAAAACATATAAAAAGATCATAAATTCGTGTCCATAATCCATCAAAACAAAAAATCCATATATCAATAAAGGAAACCCAACAAAAAAACAAAATCACACATAAGGAAGTGGAAAAGAATCTAACTTATTCGCATATATAACCATACCGAGCGAGTCTCGTAAAGCCTGAATTTCTGCAAATAGTTTCCGCTGCAGTTGTACTCCACATTGATCCGAATCTGTTGCTGATCGTTTCCCGGCGCCATACTTCGAATCCCGAGCCTCAGACCCGGGCTTTGACAGTCTCAATTGTACATAAAACAAAACAAAACAAAAAAATTGCTTAAAATTCAGATCACAGGTCCGCTCCGCACCACCAACCTAGAAAGCTCCGCAGACCGTCTTCAAGCGTACATACACAAAAATTCTTCTCTCCAATCCTTACCTGTCACTGCAAAAAAACTTCAAAGATCAATTGACTACGATGAGACTGAATTCCATAAGCTCTACAGAACCAGAAAAAACAAAAAATAATCGTAATTGCATCAAAAAAAAAAAAAAAAGTGCCTCTAGATGCAAACAATGAGAGAAAGATTGTTACATGTAAATAAAAAAGAAAGGAATTAAATCAAGCGTCGAAGGAGAAGAAGCGGAGAATGCGAGAGTTTACGGTATGCACAGATCAGGAGAGCAAAAAGGGCAAGAAACAAAGCTCCGGCGACTGCGTCCACAAAAAAATAGGAGAAAATTATGTATTTGTGTGCATTTAAGGGTTTTTTAAAGATGATGATTGGTCTAATTACATACAACTAGGAATATGGCAATTCAAATTGAGACGTTATTATTATTTACGAGTTTCACCAATTGAAATTATTGCGGTGTCTTCTTTTTCTTTTTCTCTTCAAGTATGAAAAATATGCAAGTTTTTTATTAAAAATAAAAAATAATATATATATATATATATTTATATAACATTCAAAAATTTAGGGTTGCTAGATACTGTGGTCCTCGATGATCAATTTTGGATACTTATATATTTCAATCGCGGACTGAAAACAAAAAGAGTCGTATTTTTTTTTTGTAAATCTGTATTTACCATGCTAGAATTTGTTCAACAAAATTAAAATCAAAATCCCCAGTATTCAATGTGTATACGAAGTATTTTATCATTTATTGTGCGTCGCCTAATTAAGAATATTTGAATTTGTTGTCATTTTTATTGATAGATTTACACTTTTTTTGGGTTATCTTCTTAGGTGATTCGTTTCGTATCCAGCATGATAGAGCACATACAATGATATAATTTAGACATTTTCAGTCGTGTACATACAACCATCATTATTTTCTTTCTTTGTTAGTACGAGAAGTATTTGAAATATGTAGAAATTTAAGTTTGTTACGAACTGGAATTATGCCCAATGGAATTTAAATGATAATAAAATGAGGGCTAAAAATTCAACAACTTGCTCATTGCTACGGTGAAATTAATAAACAAATTGCTAGTTGTCAATGATTGACACGCATAAATTTATCCAATACACGTCAGATGAGATGAGTAATTAGTCTTTCTAATTTAAGTTTGATAATAAAATCAAGCAATTAGGTTTGATAGTAAAATCAAGGAAATCCCTAATATCTTCAATTTTTCTAGACTTTATCCTAACTTTCAATTTGAGCCGGCAAAGATTCCTAACCTTTGATAAATATGCACTTGGAGTTCATTTGGACAGAACCCGTCCATAAAATCATTAGTTGACAAAGAAAAGTGATTTTTGACCAAATTGAAATGGGTATAATGATAATTTGTGTATTTATAAAATATTGACAAAAAAACCAACCATCTTCATCTTCTCTAACCAACGACACAAAATTCCAGCCATGTCTGACCGTTGACAACAACCAAGAAGCCGCAGCATTGCCCACGACCACAGCCACCACCTTCCAACCTCACACCACGCTCCATTTCGAACCATCCCCAACCAAAAACCATTTCAGCGTTGGTAAAATTCACTTTCGACCCAAGTCAAAAAAAAATTTTCATATATCTATTGAAACTTTGTAGTAGTTTTGATTTTCATTTTTCGATTTTATGAGATTCGATTGTAATTGTGTAGGGATTTGACAAATACTGGTGATGGTGACAATTGATGGACATCCAATTGTTAGATCTTTGGTGTCAATTTTGAAATCAACAGTAGACGATAGTAGTTTTGTTGGATTTGGAGAGGTTTCGAAATTGTAGAGGGTTTCGAAATTGCACAGGATTTAACAATTATTTTACTCTTGGTTGTGGATTTTTGTTGTAGATGCTACTGGCATTTGAGATGGTGGTGGTGGTATCAATTTAGGTGCAGCACCATGTCAATGGCGACGATGGCAGCCGTACGATAGTAGGTGAGTTTTCTTAGTTTGATTTTCAAGCATTATGTGAGTTTTCTTGGTTTATTTTCAAATGTACATTGGCAAATGCGGAGTGGCTAGAAGGTGGCAATAGAGAGTGCCAGAACTGGTAGTAAGAGATGGTGACGGGAACAGTGGTGGTAGTATAGGTCGAAGGTGGTGGTAGTGCTATTTCTGGTAGGCATGTCGGAGAAGAAAAAGAGAGACGGTTTTGATTGGGTTGGGTGGGTTTGGGTGTTGCGGGGTGGAAGATGAGGTATGTTTTGTTTTTTTCCTGATTTTGTTTGGTTTTTTATAATGTGGAATTAACTAATTTACCGTTTTGCCCTAGAGCTTTTAAGTCAATTAAAATCTTTTTTTTTTTATTTACCGTTATTTCACTATTTAAACCGTCATTTTTGAAGTCTTTTCTCACAAGTAGGATCCACCTTATCTCTAACGATCAAAAAATTAATTATCAAAATCTCTACCAAACAAGCACATAGATGGTTTCCATCCTTTTGGACCCCATTTGCATATTTTTGAAAGGTTAGGGACTTTCGTTGGCATAAATTGTGGGTTA